TATTATTCAAGTTTCTGCAGTGGTCAATTAAAAACTGTTTTCCTGAACAGTTCCTGCTCAATGACTCTGATTCATGAAAGTTAGCCAAAGTATATTATTTCACACTGTCTACACACACAGAGAAGAGGGAAATCAGTTTCTGGCACTTCCTAAAGCCCAAAGATACTAAACGTGACCATGACCAACATTTCAACAGAGGTAAACTGTAACAATACAAGGAAAGGAGCTAAAATATATTCTCTCCAAATTCAAGAAAACCTAATAGATTTTCTGAACTCCTTAATGGCATGTCCTAGAATAATGTTCTTAAGAAACTGTTTAAAAAAAAAACTATGCTTCATAAAAGCTAATTAGCAAGGATAATGTTCTTAAGAAACTGTTAAAAAAAAAAAACCTATGTTTCATAAAAGCTAATTAGCAGATCATCCAACAACTGCAAGTATTTTTATAGCTGTTATCAATTACCATTTTCTCTTTGGGGGAAAACATTAAAAACAAAAGGAACCTGAAAGGTGAGGAAATGAGATGATCGCCACCTAGAAGCTCAGCATTTTTGCACTATTCTGACCTCACCAAACAATGTATTAATAATTTCCAACTTCAGGCTTGTGCACTAAGAAAGAGGGTGTTAATATAACTAAGACTGAAGGGACTTTACTAAAGAAAATGTAAGCTAGAGAAATTTTAACATTTTCATACCTGACTCTTTCACAAGCCTTTCCTACTAAAAACCCAGAAGTGGTACAGTGATGTTCAGGATGTTCTCTGAAGAACTCTTCTCAATGTGAAAAACTGGGAAACCCAAATTCCCAGCAAGAGAAATAACAATGCAGTACCACACAGCCAATTAAAAGAAGAAAATGAGAATGAGCTGTATGCATGATCATGAAAACATTTTCAAAATAAATATATTATCAAGTTAAAAAAAAAAAAACAATAGCTGGGTATAGCTGAGGGGTAGAACACTAACCTAGGATCCATGCCCAGTACTGTATAAATAAGCACCAAGCTGAAAGTCACATGACCTGGTCCTAGTTGTTATTAACATTGACAATATTTTATATGGAAAAATTTGGGGTGAAAATACATATATTTCTAGCAGTTTCTCCAGAATATAAAATTAGAGTTCATCTTAACTTTCAACATTACATTTTGGCAATGTGTGCATTTTTTAATATGTATTATGAGTGCATATAGAAAAAAATAAGGTTTCATTTTAAGTTAGTAACCTAACTGGAAAAGAAGAAAATCTTTGTAAAGGGGAAACAGGATGCTTAGTTTTTATAACAGCTCTAAAATGTCATCTCTTTCTACCTCTCTTTTAGAAGACAACAGCATATTCTCAGAACTTCAAAATTAAGCAACACAGAGATACAGTACAGGCAAAGTCCCCTTAGTATCTCTGGGGTAACAGCTTCTCTGCATAAAAGCCCAGTCCATGCTCTATTTGTCCAGTTCTACTGAGCAACACGGTCACCTTCTACACCGCTGCAGACAAACTGCATGTACGAAGAGTACAGAGTCTTCAGACTGAAGACATTGAAGCATTTTCATAATGAAAATATGAGGAATTACAGATAACTGTGTTTGAATCCATAGTCCTGTACCTTATTCAAACATTGTAAAAACTAAACAGAAGAAAGAATTGCCTAGAAAGCTACCTGAGGAATCACTCACACTGGAAAATTTTCTACATGCCTAGGGAAAGGGTGTGAACTTGTGCTGGGAGAGGTTTGTCCCTCCACTTACAAGACCTTGGCAAATCATGTAAACTCCTCTATCTCAATTTCCTCATCAGCAAAAGGAACAAACTAGTAATAAATAACCTCTGTGGTCCCTATTAGTTCTGAAATCCTGACAACAGACCTTTATCTTTGCCAAAGGCCCTCAAAAAAATGTATGCGAATAAAATTTTATCTAGTATAAAATATATAACCAAAAACAGAACTTTTGTCTCTTTCTCACCCCTTAGTTCCCTTCTTTAAAAAACAAAGAGTTTCATGGGCTGGAGATTTAGCTCAGTGGTTCTGTCACCAGCCTCACAAGCAAAAGATCCTAAGTTCAATTCCCAACCAAAAGGGGGGGGGAGTTCCTTCCATTCCTTAGCTATTTTTTCTGACAATTACTTCCATATTTGTAAACCACACACTTTTATTATTTACTGTTTTTTCTAATTTTATATATTACCAAAAGTTTTCTATCTAATCTACTGGGCCATTTATTCACCCTAGCCACTCCCAAGATTTCCCTCCCAAATGTAATGCAAGTCAGCTGAATTTTACTAGACAGTCACACTGCTGAGATGCTAGGACATAATATTATCTTTATTTATATAAACACATACACATATGCACATATTTATAGTCTTTTTATAGTCTTTTTTCTATCTCCACATGAGTTAACATTTTGGTTAATTAGAAATAAGATTTCATATCCGAAAACTTCACAAAATCTTAACAGGGATAAAATTAAGTCTGGCCTGTAAATGAGAAATTTTGAATTCAGATCTGAGTCTACTACACACAGAAGCAAACTGTGCACATAAAAGTCCTTTTTTATCTCTGAACATCAGCTGTTTTCTTCCCATGCAGTCTAACAGCACTCACTGAAAAATATTTAAACCACATGACATAAGACCAGGCGTGGTGGTGCACACCTGTGATCCCAGCACTAGGGAGGCCGAGGCAGGAAGACTGAGATAATCCAAGGCCAGCCCGGGCTACATAGTGAGTTCAAGGACAGACTGAACTATAGAGACCCTGTCTCAAAAAAAAGAGAGAGAGAGAGAGAGAAAGAAAAATCACATGGCACAAATGTAAAAGCACTTTGTTAATCATAAAGCACCAGAAATGTTCACTTCTGTCATTATCTTTGAGAGTTCTATAAATTAAGTTCTTGTAGTTTTTCTTAACACTCTTAAGCAGTATTCCTCTACCTGAGCTAAAAACCAAGAGGGAAGTCACTGGGCATAAGAGTGCAACATAACAATTACTTCAAGCCCAGAATTTGAGGGCCCAGATCTTCGATGGGCCTCTGGATTGTTCTATAAGACAAATGTGCACAGAATAAAAATAAAATGTCTACGCAGAGATGAGAGTAAATAATTTTACTTTGTGGACAGAAGGGAGATTCCTTATCAAAGTTCCCTTTTAGAAGTGATACAAATCATGGTTTCACTCCTCAAAGATAACATTTATTTCTTTCCTTCTTCTTACCTCTACATTTCTACATGTTTGCACATCTGCTTCTTGATCTGTGGCCACTGTCTATGAATTTCCTACTACAGAAAGAACTCGGCAGAGCAAATGTTTTGAACCAAACCTGGGAGGTACAGCACAGGACTGTCACCAGCAATGTGTTTCTCTGCCTCTGTGAAAACAGAACATTGTACAATACATAGTGCCTCTACCTTACGAGCAAGGAAGCTAGGATGGGCAGCTGGGCCTAAATCATTAGACCACTCTAAGTCATTCCCCGAGTCAATTTCAGTGATGTCCACTTTCTCTTACCCTTTCTACTCACCCTGTTTAATGTAATCCTGTTACTTTATGTGAAATATAAGAAATGGGACCCAATTTATTTCAAGGCAAACATGGACACAGTTCTTAGAAGCTTTGCAGGAAAGGATTAACCAGGGCTAAGAGAAATCAGCCATTATGTGAAAAGTTATCTAAAGCCAATCTGTATGTT